ACTCTGTGTTCGTTCCCTTTAAGGTCATCCCATCATAGAAAACGTGGGAGATCGTGTACGTTTTCTCTTTCACTATTCTTATGATGAGAGAAAACGGAGAATTTTTTCAGGGTAACTTAAACATTCTGAAGTTTCCCCGTCATAGAAAATGGTACCTAGCCAGTATAAGAGAAAACGGAAATATTTTAACAGATAACTACTGCATTATATAGTAAGCGTTTATATTGTAGATAATTTTTGAGTGAGTATGTATGTTTTGTTGATATTATCACCATTAAATCACCAATAGTTATTATCGTGCCTATTTATCGTCTACTAGGGCAACTTACAATAGCTAATTCATCTTAAATAGCCGTGAAAGTTTAGACAATACGGTTAGGTAACGTGCTATTAGCCAAGATTTACGACGACAGAGACAAGTTCATCACCTACAGTACAAACAACAACACCTGGAACTAAAAACAAAGCTATTACCTGAGGGAGTGGCTGCAGGTGGTCGGCCACATAACACTACAGTAATTGCCATACCTGTGCATTAATTGCTACTCACCTGAGGCCAGACGTCCCTCCTGTTGCTGTACGGATGACTGAAGGAGTTACCAGGGAGAATAGGTGCCTGAGGGTGAGGAGGAGGGGGGACTGATGTATTTGTACACAATAAAAAGATGACGCCTCGTGCACAATAGACTGTTGACGCATCTAGTTGTGCACGACAAACAGATGACGTCTTGTGCACGATAGTCACTTGACGTATGTTCTTGTGCACACTTCGACTGAGTGACCACCAGAAGACATGCTATAGACATTTACATAACACTGCCATCAACGGGGGATTAACATTGACACATACTAAGCATGAATACTGGTCTGAGAAACGAAAAGTCTCACTCCACAAAACACCTTGGCATTATCCCCTATTGTGTCTGTTGAAGATACGATAAATTTGGGTACGAAATTAAAAAGTGAATAAAATTTACACATATAGGAAGGAGGAATGAATAAGATGAATATGTAAGGGATAGTGAATGGTGAATGGTAATTTTTCATGGGGGGTAGAGCAGGGAAAGACAGACAGACAGACAGACAGACAGACATTGAGACAGGGGGTGAAATGGTAAGGGAAAGTGATGTATAAATGTGTAGAAAGTGACAGGAAACAAGTAAGAAACACACACACACACACACACACACACACACACACACACACACATGGAGCATGCTATATATTGAATACATAAATGACATAAATATTTGGAAATGGAAAAAAATATAAAAAACTAGTTCCAATATGTGTTAGTAAATTTTGTTTTAATGTTAAAAGAAACTCGTTATTTTTTGGGGAATTTGAAAAAAATAAACAAAAAATAATAAATGTCCCAACAAGCAACAACGAAAAATAAACAAAATTAACCCAACATACTAGTAATACTCGAACAGTGGGAAACAGTGAACGTGGCACACCTTTCATCTATTTGGGTTCCTGGCACCTGGTGGTGTCTGTGGCACTACATGTAAGAAAGTCTCCCAGGTTACAACAACCCCCCCCTCCTCCTCCTTCCCTAACAACAACAGGAGGAGGAGGAAGTTGCGAGGAACACCAGGAGGAGGAGGAGGAGGAGGAGGATGGTAGACTTTTTCACCATCTGGGAAAAAGGAAGAGTTTAGACAGACAGACAGAGAGACAGACAGACAGACAGAGAGACAGACAGACAGACAGACAGACAGACAGACAGACATATGGTTGTTACTCTCGACTACCCTGTACATAATAACAACTTGTTAAAAGACCATCACACACACACACACACTAGGATACGGTCACTACCTGTACTTAATTAACTCACCTGTAATTATATTGATAATTTTAAGTAGATTTTGTGATTTTGTTAACCTAAATGTACAAGTTTTATGAGACTTTTATTATACCACGAGGGAGATATTATATTTGTACTTATAAATATACCTGTTTGAGAATCGTCCAATCTAGTTCATTCGGTGTTAGCTAATCGTCCAATCTATTTCACTCGGTGTCTGATAATCGTCCAATCTAGTTCACTCGGTGTCTGATAATCGCCCAATCTAGTTCACTCGGTGTCTGATAATCGCCCAATCTAGTTCACTCGGTGTCTGATAATCGCCCAATCTAGTTCACTCGGTGTCTGATAATCGTCCAATCATTCACAGTGACCAGAAGTCTTCACCTGCACTAATGGCCATGACTGTGCACTGAAATTTCCACAGACTAATTTTAATGTACCGTAACCGTGTTGAAATTCATCTACCTTCGTTTTACCTGTACTTGTGTTTTACCTGTAATTGTGTTTTATCTGTATTTGTACCTGTGTTTTACCTGTAATTGTGTTTTATCTGTACTTGTGTTTTACCTGTAATTGTGTTTTACCTATATTTGTACCTGTGTTTTACCTGTAATTGTGTTTTACCTGTACTTGTGTTTTACCTGTAAGTGTGTCTTACCTGTACTTGTGTTTTACCTGTACTTGTGTTTTACCTGTAATTGTGTTTTACCTGTATTTGTACCTGTGTTTTACCTGCGTTTACCTGTACCTGTATTTTACTTGTACTGTCACTGGAACGGAATTTCATCTACTTACATTTGGCCTCAATTTATGGTACACCATTTAGAATTATTATTGTAAATTGTAACAGAAAAAGAGTGTAAAGGTTTAAAATTGAAATCTGTACAATGTTAAAGTAATCTTGGTAATATATAAAAATGGATATATTCTTGTCTCGTGTGTGTGTGTGTGTGTGTGTGTGTGTGTGTGTGTGTGTGTGTGTGTGTGTGTGTGTGTGTGTGTGTGTGTGTGTGTTTTATGCCCCACGTCATCATCCAATTACCTGGTGAGGTCTTGGTAGCAGTGAGTAACCACATTACCATCAGAGTGTGTGTGTGTGTGTGTGTGTGTGTGTGCCATGTGTGTGTGTGTGTGTGTGTGTGTGTGTGTGTGTGTGTGTGTCTTTCATCTCTACTCTCTTCCGCTCTCTGCCTCTCTCTTTTACTTCCCATGTTTATCATCTCTTCGACTCAATTATTGCTTCCTATTTCGTGTTATTTCATCTTTCTTGTTTGTGTATTTGTTTTTTGTTCTTACTGTTTTTTTTGTTTCTGTCCTTGTTTTGTACTGTCTGTCTGTCTGTATGTCTGTCTGTCTGTCTGTCTGTCTGTATGTCTGTCTGTCTGTCTGTATAAGAAATCCAAGTTAAAATCAGTATTCTTTATTTGATTCTGTTTTTTGTTCCATTATTCTCACTTCCTCTTCGTAACGTAACACTGAAAAAGATAAATGATTAGCGAGCTATTGTTTATCTATTCAATATTGGATTGTTATTATTATTTTTCTTGTTATTTTGTTTATTATCAATTATGAAGTGAAATGAAAATCTAAAAAGTCGAAAGAGTCGATTAAAAGTCTGATTTATGACTTATTTCCTCAGCTAATGTCTAAATACTCCAGCTAGCATTTAAAAAGTCAATTCAAAGTCTGATTCACCTCTAAAGGATCAACTATGAACCTAACTCACGATTTACAGTACCTTAGTAAACATTTAACAAAGTTTACCTTAAGCACTGAAGATCTAGAGGAGTATCCCCTTAACCCATTCTCTATGACGTGACGGAAAACTTCACGGGAGAACCTACCTTATGGAGCTCTACTCATAAGGTCTGTTTTACCCCTTGATGTTCGTCCTCCTCCTCCTCCTCCTCCTCGGTCAGTCAACAGCATTCCTCGGTTCGCACCTCCACACAGCTGTTCTTGGCCCCGTCAGCTGTTGTAGTGTGACGTCACCTGCATATACAAAACAGTATTTTTTTTTCTTTTTGATGTTAAATATACGTGAGTGACTTAGTAATGTTACTTAAAGAAGAATAAACTTAATCTAATCCTACCTTGATAACTAAAGTGTAGCTTGTCTTGACGTCACACTTGAGACAGTGACATCAGAATAATAACAGCTAATATCATAACGTCACTAAGACACGGGTAATATTATGAACTTATACCGATTATAATAACAACAGTAACTACCCAATTCAACTCTACATCACACACAGCAGCTGGCGTAGTAGTGAAGTCGAGTTTTTTGTTGACTGACTTAAGCTTCCAGGCAGCTCGACCGTTGTTACCTGATTGACTTTCAGGGATTTATTGTATTACTACGAACATTTCATCAATCACTATATTCTCTAAGTGTATGTGTTTGTTTTTATTGTTTCTTGTGTTTTAATAGTGTTTTGTTAAGGCACTGTTTGGTTTGTTCTCAGCCTCCCTTGAGTCCTGTAGGTGTTGTGTGTACTAAAACATTCATTGAAAAAACTCACATTAGATCAACATTCATACTGTAAGAATGTGTATATGTCTTGTAATGTTTTCTCACTATAAGTTGTGTAAATGTTAGCAATCTGTGTTAACAAAATGCAAAGTTATAGTGAAAACTCAATATAACGAATTTCTTTATATAATCCGTTAGATCGGGGTATCATATCTAACGGATTCTCGATATAACGGATTTTATAAATACGTTAGATGGGGGGTATCATTTTTAACGGATTCTCCTCGATATAACGGACATTTATCTCCATATAATCCGCTAAATGGAGGTGTCCACTGTATATTTTTTACCATTACAAACCTAAGTGGGAAAACGAGAAGTAACAAGGTGAATTTAGGTCATATTTATTAACAAATTTAGTAGCGCAGGTGTAGTGAACATGTAGAGAGTAGATATATCCTGAAGTAGTATGTGGTTTACCTCCCTTGATTGTGGCTAATTGGTGATGGTGGTGGTGATTAGTTCCCCAGGTAGTGTGTCAGAGAGGGGATTATTACCTGTGTTGTTCTTGGTTACAGAGTGTTGCTAATTGATCTTCTTCTTCTTCTTTGCTCCTCTTCTTTCCTCTTCTTTCTTCTTCTTTCTTCTCCTCCTCCACGTATTGCTATCAGAATGTGTCTAATCGTATTTTCTTCTCGTCCTGACAGCAAGCCCTCAAGTCACGTCAGAAAGATGCCTCCTCGGAGAGTCGATCGTCTAGCCCTCGAGACTCTGGCCTTGTGATGTCCTCAGCCGCTGCCTCCGACGCTGAAGGTGACCCACGTTCCCCCACTGGCGGTTCCTTCAGGAATTCCCTCGCCTTCTTCCAGCGGGCAGCTCATCTCGTCGCTAATAACACCAAAAATACCACGATAGGTAAGTCTTGTGCAGGTGATAGGAGTCTTGCATCTTGTTTTGGTTCTTGAGAAATATTACTAGCAGTGGTTGTGTAGTTTGTCAAGTGTTAGATTATTTAACAATTCCTATGAACTAATCGCATTCAAACACCTTTTTTTCGTCTGTGTGAATGTATGTAAAACAGTATAGACGCCATCAACTTATTTACATACCTGACCTACCTGAACTATTACCTGTGTTAATTAGAATCGGTAAATCATCCTCATACCTGAGTCTTATCGTTACAGGAACAGGAATACAGTAGAGCTTAAGGTACATTATCTACTATGACTGTAATATATAGGTACACGGTACATCCTATGACTGTAACAGAGAAGGTACCGTACACTAGTTTAAAAATAGTATTGTATCTAAAACGTCACCTCGTAATATTAACATAGTTGTGGTGGCGGTCGTCACCCTCTTATGAATTAGTGTTTAGCTATGAACTACTTAATTTGTAAACACGTGCTAGAGGCGGCAGCTTGTTTGATCCACAGTCGGAGTTATTGAAGCACTAGGTGGCTCTTCCTCTTACCCCCAGTAATTGAAGCACTAGGTGGCTCTTCCTCTTACCCCCAGTAATTGAAGCACTAGGTGGCTCTTCCTCTTACCCCCAGTAATTGAAGCACTAGGTGGCTCTTCCTCTTACCCCCAGTAATTGAAGCACCTGATCCTTCTCCCTCAGTAATTAAGCACTATATGACCCTCCGGTAAATGAAGCACTAGATAGCTCCTCTCCCAGTAACTGAAGCACTAGATCCCCCCAGTAAATAAAGCACTAGATGGCTCCTCCTCCTCCCCAGCAATGAAGCACTAGATCCCCCCTAGTTATTAAAGCACCATATTCCCCCTCGCCCAACAACTGAAGCCCTACTGTAGATCACCCTCCAGTAAATGAAGCACTAGATGGCTCAGGTGAAATCCTGCACCATGACGTCACTGCTCCTTAATTACTCCTCCTCACCTGCTGTATTACCTTTCAAGGGCATCACCCAATTACAGGTTATGTCTCATTAAGCACCAATTACACTATTATTATTAAAACAGACTAATCACCAAGGGAACTTGCTTGAATTTGTAGTTTGATAGGATAATTAGATGGGTATAACTAGTTCAGGTTAGGTTAGGTTAGGTTAGGTTAGGTTAGGTTAGGTTAGGTTAGGTTAGGTTAGGTTAGGTTAGTCAGGGGTTAATCTTCAGGTGATGAGTGTTATTCATCTTTTCCCTACTGACGATACTCTACTACAGGAACGCGACAGAATGGATCATCCTTCTTAGCGACAAGTAGTGAGGGCTGGAATCATCAGACGACCACACCACCGACACACCACAACCACACCGACCACACCACAGACCTCATCAGTGGTGTTGGAGGAGGAGGCGGTGACGGAGGAGGAGGAGAGCTTCGAGGACGACCTAACCCACTTCGAAGACCAAGGCACCTGAGCAGGTCCTGTTCATCAATGGCCGACCACAGTACCAAGATGACTTAAGGTGAGTCTTGATACTAGTTCACAGGTGAATTCAGACACTAATTAAGTAAGTCCTTCAGGTTAAATACGACGATAACATTAGGGGAGTCCAACCTAATTAGGAGCCTCACCTGGTATTAACAGTACCATAAGAACGTCAGGTGAGTCCAGATACTAATTAAGAAGTCCATCAGGTAACTACAGTGTCATTAGAACGCCAGGTGAGTTAGACACTAATTCAGGAAGTACCAAGGTGAGTCTAGACACTAATTAGGAGGTCCACCAGGTGAGTCTAGACACCATTTCCGTGGTACCCAGGTGAGTTCAGACACTAATTAGGAGGTCCACCAGGTAACCACAGTACCAGAATGACGAGGAGTACCACGAGAGGTATTTGAGTCACCCCTCTCACTACTGTACACACTCAGTCTACCACACATGATGTATTAACGTGTTCGCCTCGTACCGTTAACTTCCTCCCACCCTCCGTACCACCCCCTCTCCCTCCCTCAGAACCCCCCTCCCTCGCTCAGTACCCCCCCCTCCCTCCTCAGTACCCCCTCCCTCCTCAGTACCTCCCTGTCTCACTCCCTCCTTCACCCCTTCTCTCAGTACTTCCCTCCTACCCTCCACCATTCTAACCTCCTCCTCCCTCCCTCCTCCCTCCTCCCTCCCTCCCTCCTCCCCTCCCCTCGGGTACTCCATCATGCATCAATCATGCGTAATCTCTCTCTCTCCTCCTCCTCTCTCTCTCTCTCTCTCTGTCATCATGCAACCCAGTGCTGGGGGGTCATGCAAGGTCCAAAGCGTGTGTGTGTGTGTGTGTGTGTGTGTATGTATGTGTGTCCTCAAAGTGCACGTACAAGCGACGTCAGACCTTTACCCCCGCATACCTGAGTTACCATGACAACACGGGGGAGTGGCGTTGACCTAATGATTGTTGTTGTCTGGTTAGGGTTTGGTTGGGGTTTGGTTAGGTTAGGTTAGGTTTTGGTTTGGTTAGGGTTTGGTTGGGTTAGATTCTGTTTGGTTAGGGTTAGGTTGGGTTTGGTTAGGGTTTGGTTAGGGTTAGGTTGGGTTAGATTAGGTTTTCGTAACTCAATTACAGGTTTTAGCGTCTCCACTTTTCGATTCATATCAGCCTCCGAGATGATTGATGATTTTACCAAGTACTCACTGTGTTCGGGGTTATATCGCGTGTTGGAATTCATCCTCACTGGTCAGTCATGGAACCTAAAACACCTGACAGTTAGTTTACACTCTATAGTATATAACTGATCCACCACCACAGTCAACACTCGAACCAGTTATATTTCCTCTAGTTGGGAGGCGGAGGCGGCCAGTTCGGTAAACACTCCACTCACACTATAACAGTTAACAGTTAATTTGTACTCCTTCTCTAGTTACTGGCATCACCGCTATAACAATTACCAGTCCAACCAGTTAGTCCAGTCAGTCAATACAGTTTTTGCCTCACGGTCACTTCTTTAAACTGTGTACAACAAATTTTTGACTGTTTGACTGGTGCATTTCTCTGAGGTGACGAGATAAGGTTGGAATTTTAAGTGTAAGGGGTTGACAGAGACGCTGGCGAAGTGATCGGCAGTGCTGGCGGAGACTTTTGTTCACGGTGGGGGCGAAGCTTTTGGTCAGGTGGGAAATATTTGAGTTTGTTTTCATATGTACTCTCTCTCTCTCTCTCTCTCTCTCTCTCTCTCTCTCTCTCTCTCTCTCTCTCTCTCTCTCTCTCTCTCTCTCTCTCTCTCTCTCTCATATATTACAGAACAGATACATGATTAATACTGATAATTACACGTGAAATTACAGACAGGTAATCCAGTAATTTAATGTTATATTACAGTCACGGTAACACCTGGCTACAGTGAGACTAATACTCACCTGTAATTACATCTCAGGTGTAACTCCGAATTCCCAAGGTCTTGTAAGTTAAGACTCCACCCCCCGTCTCCACCCCTCCCGGACCCCCTCAGCCCCCACCCCTCCCCTTTAAGAGAGAACGAGAGAGCGTATCCGGTTAACAGTAGAGTCTCGGTGCAATAAGGCGGCCATTTTGGATGCTATTTTCTTCCTAAGGTGTTCAAAATGATTTCCTTATGGCCATGACTCGTAAGATATCCAATAGTCCCGTAAGATCTGTACTAAATAACGCAATGACGGACACAAAAACGAGACATCTTTTACCTGTGACTAGTAATTAGTGTCTCTCCCGTCCCACCTGTTGTCACCTGTGATCAACCAGCGGCGTGTAATTAGTGAGGTGATGAAGTAGTTACCGGTGATATATTAGCTCAGGTAGATGGCACCACACAAGGCACTCAGGTGTGGCACTTGACCTCAGACTCAGATGTGATTTACAAGATGGAGAGATTTAAAGGTTATTTGTTGAGTACGAGAAGGGCCTTATGGTCGTTGTACTCGTAGGGCTTAGGACTAGTGTTATTGTACTCAAACTTTAATGTCATAGTACTCAAGGGGTTATACGTAGTGCTATTGTAATCAAATTGTAATGCCATCGTATTCAAGAATTTAGGCCTATTGTCAGTGTACTCAAAGTTTAATGCCATCGTACTCAAGAGACTAGACCCTAGTGTCATTGTACTCAAACTTCAATGTCATAGTACTCAAAGGGTTAACACCGTTCGAACACTTAACAGGAGAATTTCACACCTGGTCTACCTGTGTAATTAAGTAAAACACCTGTATAATTGGTCATTATCGCCAGAGAGAGAGAGAGAGAGAGAGTACCTAAGCTTGAAATGATATGTAGGACAGTTCTCACGCTTAAAGGGTGGGGTAAAGAATTGAGAAGATTGGGGGAAGTAAGTGGGGTAAATGGGAGAATGTAAGGGAGTGATGAGAGGGGGAGAGGAGGGAGGGGGAGGAGGGGGTGGACATGCATGTAAAAGAAAGAAATGACTGTAATTTGTAATGGCTGATGAGTGTGTGAGTGGTGAGTGTGTGGGGTAGTAGGTGTGTGGGTGGTGAGTGTGTGGGTGGGTAGATTATTATTGGGTGGTGGCGAGTGTGTGGTGGTGGGTGTGGGTGGTGGTGAGTGTGTGGTGGTGGGTGTGTGGGTGGTGAGTGTGTGGTGGTGTGTGGGTTGGTGAGTGTGTGGCTGATGGGTGTGGTAAGGTGGGTGAGTGTGTGGGTGATAGGTGTGTGGTGGTGGGGTGTGGCGTTGATGAGTGTGTGGGTGGGTGAGTGTGGGTGGTGAATGTGTGGGTGGTGGGTGTGGGTGGGGCAGTGCTGTGGGTGGTGAGTGTGTGGGTGGTGAGTGTGTGGGGTGTAGAGGATGGACTAATACCGTAGACTTATTTACACAACGTGAATTGTTGGCTGGCTACACCCTCCTTCTTCTCCACACTCATACACACTAAATCCACCCCTTCCTCTCCACCCCTTCTCCCCACCACCCTCCTCACTTAGTAGCATCCATCATAAGATGCAGGCACTATTTATATCCTCCAAAGATATAATATATCCTCAAATATTGTGTGTGTGTGTGTGTGTGTGTGTGTGTGTGTGTGTGTGTGTGTGTGTGTGTGTGTGTGTGTGTGTGTGTCGGCTGCTATCGTTTTGTTATTATTACGAGTCATATTATTGTTCCAGAGTTCTTGTTGTTATTCTCCCTCGTTAGACTTATTCTCCCTCGTTAGACTGTTATTCTCTCCTCGTTAGACTTATTCTCCCTCGATAGACTGTTATTCTCCCTCGATAGACTGTTATTCTCTAGAGCACCATAGTTAGTCTCCCTTTATTGTCATCTTATTCTCCCTATGACTATATTATTATCTATTATGATCTCCCTATAAAGCCATATTGTTCTCCCTATGTATGTGTTGTTCTCCCTATAGTGTTCCTCCTATAGTGTTCCTCCTCACCATATAACTGTTGATGAGTGTTGTGTTGTGTTTCAGCTGGCGTGGTGGTGGTGGTGGTGGTGGTGGTGGCGGCAGCTGGACCCGGGTGAGGATAGACGGCAGCGGTGGCAACTCTGTGGTGGTGGCCGCTCACAGCCCGGACACCCAGCCGCCCTCAGTCGCTCACAACTACGCCTCGCTGTTGAAACGTTCGTCCGCTTCAGCTCACGCCGCAGAGAGTACCGCAGCTTCTGTAGCCGCTGCCGAAGCCGAGACACAGACGCAAGCGGACGATCTCACCAGTTATGTGACATTACCCCGAAGGAAACCGTATCTAAATTTTAAGAGTGTTTCGAGTGCTTTAAACAATCCCGGTGTTGGTGGCGGTGGTGGTTCAGATTTCGATAATGAAGACTTGAGATATTTTAAGGAAAGAGTCGGCATCTTGAAACACAGTGGCGTGAATACCATTACCCGCGCCCAGAGTTTTAAGGAGGGACTGAACTGTTACTCTAATGAATACAACAATAACTCCTACGGCTTGTCGAGGACTCAGAGTTTCCACGATGGCTTAGCTAGTGATTTCAACGAGTTAGAAAGTGTTAAGCCGAAACTACAGAGGGCGCCGTCCGTGGATGAGATATTAGAGTCTGTGAAAACGTTGCGGGCCAAGAAAACGATGGTGAAGTCGACCCCAGACCTGTTGAGTGCCCAGGAGCCCGTCTACCACTCGGCCTCATTGCCCAGACAAAAGAGTAACAAAGGTAAGGCCCCGCGACCTCCTGGCACTTCTACCCTCCTAGGTGTCAGGTATAATGGCACTACAAATTCTCCCCACTACGAGAGAGTGCCAGAGCCAGACTACGAGCAGATCCCAGAGGCGGGTATCCCTTACTACGAGAACTTGTGTCGCGGCAACAACCACTACGAGAACATCCACCTGAAGGGCGAGGTGATCTACGACAGTCCCAAACCCACCGAACACCACCACTACGACAAGGTGCACGCTGACTTACACTACGAGAACGTTAAATACGACGCCCCGGTATACGAGAACCTGGACGAGAAGGAGCCAACCTACATGAATATTAACAGCAGCACCCTCGGGAAGACCAACATGTACGCTAACCAAGACGCCAACAAAAAATGCAGCAGTCTTAAATCCTCCAAATCGAGAACGAATAAAGTGACCATAAGTGGCAACTCCATGATGCAGGGCACTACCTACGACGTCCCGAGGACAGCCACACACATTTATGACTCCCCGCAGAAACAGGTCCGTTCTGTTGGGTCGACACAGGCCAGCGAGTACGATACACCAAAGAACAACCGCTCTGTGCTGCCTCAGTCAACACAGATCGTCCTGATGGCAAAGACTGACCAGAAACAGAAGATCGACGATATCTTCGCCGACTGTGATCAGGATTCTCTGGAAGGCGACAGAGACAGAGAGCCCGACATCCCTTCTCCAGGTGAGTCTTGAAGGTGTTTACTTGAGTTCACTTTCAGAGTAACCTAACCTAACCCAACCCAACCCATCCCAACCCAACCCAACCCAACCCAACCCAACCCAACCCAACCCAACCCAACCCAACCCAACCCAACCCAACCCAACCCAACCCAACCCAACCCAACCCAACCCAACCCAACCCAACCCAACCCAACCCAACTCCAACCCAACCCAACCCAACCCCCAACCCAACCCAACCCAACCCAACCCAACCCAACCCAACCCAACCCAACCCAACCCAACCCAACCCAACCCAACCCAACCCAACCCAACCCCCTAACCCAACCCAACCCAACCCAACCCAACCCAACCCAACCCAACCCAACCCAACCCACGACACCTCACCATAGTCCATACACCGACTCTTCAAACACGGAAGAAACTAAGAGTGGGTAGCGGTCACCATATACCTGTTGGCCTCAGTAATGCCACCCGACCAACTCACGGTACAGTAAGATGAATCATTGGCGACATTTGGGGTGATATTTAGCTTCGGGTTGAGGGGAAAAGTTGAAAACAAACACACACACACACACACACACACACACACACACACGTCAGAGAGATACATAGAGAGATCAAGAGGCCAACACCTGGGGTCAGAGATGCATCAGTGTCATTATATGCGTGACGGTAGCGTGTTGTGTGTGTAAATAAGGAGGATGCTCATGATACCTGACGCGTGGCTGCCCGTGTCTGTGAAGCCGGGAACAGATCACGTAGTGGCTACAAGTACATACATAGAGACATACATAGACATACACAGACCTACACACGTGCCTCCTCCTACCTGAGTCAGAAGTCAATCAACCCCTGGCGTGATTGACGTTGACAGCACAGTACACACAAGCTCGTGGTTAGTGAGTGTTTGACGCACACACACACACACACACACACACACACACACACACACACACACACACCAATCATCTTATCTGCACGAATAGCGAGAAAAAAACCACTTGTATTTTTAGGGGATTTTCTTGGATTTGGGTTTCCCGCTGGACCGCCAATGAAGTGAACCACTGGACCCAACCACACCCTAAAACCGGTCCAGTGATACCTTAGCGAAAACCAGTAGAATGTCCCGTTAATGTTGTGTAAAGTCTCTGATTAAAATCGTCTTAAGTTTTTATAAGTGTCTTAAGTGTCATTGATCTTAGTTATATTAAATAAAAGTCCAAAATAACTCGAACAAACTTACTAAGATTAAAATTCAAAGTTTTTTCAATATTTTGTTCCTATCAACACTTAAATGTAAACAAAGATGGCGGCTTAAGATATGTAAACAAAGATGGCGGCTTAAGATATGTAAACAAAGATGGCGGCTTAAGATATGTAGACAAAGATGGCGGCTTAAAATATGTAAACAAAGATGGCGGCTTAAGATATGTAAACAAAGATGGCGGCTTAAGATATGTAAACAAAGATGGCGGCTTAAAATATGTAAACAAAGATGGCGGCTTAAGATATGTAAACAAAGATGGCGGCTTAAAATATGTAAACAAAGATGGCGGCTTAAAATATGTAAACAAAGATGGCGGCTTAAAATATGTCAATGAAAATAGTGACTTGAAATTCAATTTTTTTTTTAAGTTAAGGAAGAAAAACATATAATTTACATACTTTTTTACCCAAACTGTAAATGTCTTGTAAATAAGGAAATAAAACAAACATTAACAATAAGAAATAAATAAAAAATAATCTCCTTTTTCAAACATAATAATAAAAAAAATTCTATATCGGAACAAAATTTAATTAATAAATAAAATTAAATCACAAAAAATATATTAAAAACAGGAAGTTAAACATTAATAGTGTGTGTGTGTGTGTGTGTGTGTGTGTGTGTGTGTGTGTGTGTGTGTGTGTGACCTAACGAGTGTTTGTTTACCTGAGCTTGGACAAACACCGTTGAGTAAACAGTAAAATTTATAGGTCCTGTTAAGAGTCTGTTTACCTCAAGTTCCTGTTTGATTAGCCTCTGTTGTTATTTCAGGGTCCTGTTACCTTCTCTGTTTATTTCCAGTTCATGTTAGCTTCTCTGTTTATTTCCAGTTCCTGTTAACTTCTTATTTCAGGGTTCTGTTACCTTCTCTGTTTATTTCCTGTTTCTGTTATCTTCTTTTCTTATTTCAGGGTCCTGTTACCGCCTCTGTTTATTTCCGGGTCCTGTTTACGATATCTCAGGTATATATATATTTCCAATCTTTCTTATTTCTGTACCTTATTATTATTCACTATTCTCTTGTTCTTACCTGGGTGAAAACTAATTAACAGGTGTATATATATAATTAATGTATTTTGTATTTAATATTTGCTGTATTATTCTGTATTCAGTATTTATTATTTTCTAAGATATTATTATTAGATGTTTATATTTGCTTAATTTTCTATATATATATATACGTTAGTGTGTTGCTTTCGTTTATATAATGGTATATTTAGTCCTATATTATAATGGTATACTAAAAATATTATTGTTTTACGTATGATAAATTTTATAATATATTTTTTTAATTTATTTTATATTGCGGGAAAAAAATTGATATTTGCTTTTAAATCCACCTTGAGAAAACGATTCCACCAATATAAAAATATCAATCAGTTATGCCAAAAAAATCACTCATTACTGTATTTAATTAATGGTTTTAACGTATAATAATAATTAAAACATTCATCGTGGTTTATTTTTATTTATTTTATGTGTTTACGGTTTATTTTTAGTTCATGTTTACCCGGAATTAATGAGTTGTGTTGAGGCTTTACCGCTTGGGTGTCGGTCGCTTAGTTCCCCGTGAGGATGTTCACCTTCAGAGAGGAGAGACACTCGTTCCTGGTTAGGCTGGTGAGAAGATGGGGGGTGAGGGGGGTGAAGGTGAGGTGAGTGGGAGTGTGGGTGAGGTGAGAGAAGAGAGAGAGGAGTAACTAAACAAGGAAATAATGAAGAAAATAAAGAGAGAGGAACAACAAAGATGGAGGAGAACAGAGGCAGGCCATAACAACAGGATCTTATGACGTCACCCATCACCTGGTAAAACGTCAGCAATCATCTCCTATGACGTCACTACCGCTGGAGCCAAACGTGACAGTCGGCTATAAACCAATAAACTCTCTCTCTCTCTCTCTCTCTCTCTCTCTCTCTCTCTCTCTCTCTCTCTCTCTCTCTCTCTCTCTCTCTCTCTCTCTCCTTCCTCAAAGACTTACATTGAAAGCTTTAATTAAAAATATGACTGTGCATCTGACTGTTGACTGTAAGATAACAGGTAAACCGGTGTCATTGACGTTTTATGACTGTTGGGAGACTTTTAACTAGGAGACTCTTTTAACTAGGAGACTATTAACTAGGAGACACTTTCAAATTCGTGTGTGTGTGCGTGTGTGCAGGGGGGCAGGCGTGGCGTGTGTGGGGGTGGGCGTGTGCAGGGGGGGCGGGCCGTGTGTGTGTGTGTGGGGACGGGCGTGTGTGTGTGTGTGTGCAGGGACGGGCCGTGTGTGTGTGTGTGGGGGGGGGGGCAGGCGTGTGTGTGTGTGTGAGGGGGGCGGGCGTGTGTGTGTGTGTGTGCAGGGGACGGGCGTGTGTGTGCGGGGACGGGCGTGTGTGTGCGTGTGTGTGTGTGTGTGGTCATCATTACTCTAACCAGACAATGACCCAGCTGGTGGTATAGAGGTATCTGACAGCCTCTACACACACACGCACAACGTCAACTATCTCACACCTTCTTCAGATTGATGGTAGTGAAGATCGTGATGCTCTTAGGGAACGGATAAACGTAACAAGAACGCCCTTTACGGATTCAGTTGGTGGGAACGGCGAATGGCAGCGGAATGAAGACGTCGCTAGAACGCACCTCATAGGAAAGAAAATTACGAGTGAAAATTATTGTTTATTTTATTTATTTTTATCTTAATGAATGACAAGAGAGATTAAGTATCAAGTGAAAAGAGAAAATTCGACTCTCTTGTTGATAATGGTGGTAGTGGACGCAGCTAGAACGCACCCAATTATTATGGCGATTAGACCTGATTTAAAGGGGTTTTTTCCTGTTTATTTCTTACCTTAACGAGTGATGGATGATCTTAATTACCTTTGTTATATGTAGAGATAAACATTACTTCTCAGGTGGAGGGGGGGGCTGAACTCGCTAAAACGCATCACATAACATATATATATTTAAAGAGTTCAGGACTGTTTGTTGATATCTCTTAACTATAGCGGTTTTAAAGGTTAATTACCCTTATCAGGTGAGAAATTAAATATATCACACTGAGTTGGTCATCCAGTGGAGGTTGGGGGGCACGCGCTAGAACGCACTTGACCATGATAACACTACGGGTGATCTTATATTGGTTGATGCATCTTAAACGAGTGATTATAGAAAGTAATTACCCTTATCAGACGAAAAGCTACACCCACACACATGGCAAAATAATGGTTGTTAGTGGGTAATGAGGGTAGACTAACGCTAGAACGCATCTGGACGTGTTAATGTGGATGAGGTTAGGCGGACGCTAGAATGCATCTGGACGTGTTAATGTGGGTGAGGTTAGGCGGACGCTAGAACGCATCTGGACGTGTTAATGTAGGTGAGGTTAGGCGGACGCTAGAACGCATCTAGACGTGTTAATGTAGGTGAGGTTAGGCGGACGCCAGAACGCATCTGGACGTGTTAATGTAGGTGAGGTTAGGCGGACGCTAGAACGCATCTGGACGTGTTAATGTGGATGAGGTTAGGCGGACGCTAGAATGCATCTGGACGTGTTAATGTGGATGAGGTTAGGCGGACGCTAGAATGCATCTGGACGTGTTAATGTGGATGAGGTTAGCGGACGCTAGAATGCATCTGGACGTGTTAATGTGGGTGAGGTTAGGCGGACGCTAGAACGCATCTGGACGTGTTAATGTAGGTGAGGTTAGGCGGACGCCAGAATGCATCTGGACGTGTTAATGTGGATGAGGTTAGGCGGACGCTAGAATGCATCTGGACGTTAATGTGGGTGAGGTTAGGCGGACGCTAGAACGCATCTGGACGTGTTAATGTAGGTGAGGTTAGGCGGACTAGAATGCATCTGGACGTGTTAATGTGGATGAGGTTAGGACGCTAGAATGCATCTGGACGTGTTAATGTGGGTGAGGTTAGGCGGACGCTAGAACGCATCTGGACGTGTTAATGTAGGTGAGGTTAGGCGGACGCCAGAATGCATCTGGACGTGTTAATGTGGATGAGGTTAGCGGACGCCAGAATGCATCTGGACGTGTTAATGTGGATGAGGTTAGGCGGACGCTGTGCCTGACGTGTTAATGTGATGAGGTTAGCGGACGCTAGAATGCATCTGGACGTGTTAATGTGGGTGAGGTTAGCGGACGCTAAAACGCATCTGGACGTGTTAATGTGGGTGAGGTTAGGCGGACGCTAGAACGCATCTGGACGTGTTAATGTAGGTGAGGTTAGGCGGACGCTAGAATGCATCTGGACGTGTTAATGTGGATGAGGTTAGGCGGACGCTAGAATGCATCTGGACGTGTTAATGTGGATGAGGTTAGGCGGACGCTAGAATGCATCTGGACGTGTTAATGTGGATGAGGTTAGGCGGACGCTGAATGCATCTGGACGTGTTAATGGGTGAGGTTAGGCGGACGTTAAAACGCATCTGGACGTGTTAATGGGTGAGGTTAGGCGGGCGCTAGAATGCATCTGAACGTGTTAATGTAGGTGAGTTAGGCGGACTCTAGAATGCATCTGAACGTGTTAATGTGGGGTGAGGTTAGCGGACGCTAGAATGCATCTGAACGTGTTAATGTGGGGTGAGGTTAGGCGGACGCTAGAATGCATCTGGACGTGTTAATGTAGGTGAGGTTAGGCGGACGCTAGAATGCATCTGGACGTGTTAATGTGGGTGAGGTTAGGGGACGCTAGAATGCATCTGGACGTGTTAATGGGTGAGGTTAGGCGGACGCTAGAACGCATCTGGACGTGTTAATGTGGGTGAGGTTAGGCGGACGCTAGAATGCATCTGGACGTGTTAATGTGGGTGAGGTTAGGGGACGCTAGAATGCATCTGAACGTGTTAATGTGGGGTGAGGTTAGGCGGACCTAGAATGCATCTGGACGTGTTGACAATTGTGTGTGTTGCTGGCTGGTGGTTGAGTGTTAACGAGGCGGTATTGTACGTCCAGCAGCCATCCTTTTATCACACACATGACGATGAGAGAGAGAGAGAGAGAGAGAGAGAGAGACATGTACAGTTAGACACACACACACACACACACACACACACACACACACACACACACACACACATAGACCAATCTCCTGAAGGTGCAGGATGACTGGACACCACCCGCTAACAGCTCCCACCTGGCGAAGTCACATCAGAACAAACTCGACCTAACTGGCTATGGTCTAGTGCAGGTGTAAACAAGATGGTACTTCGGAGGGTGTAAACAAAGCTCATGGGGGTTATCTTAGCTGTTTACGGTACATGATGTAACTTGGTGTAAATATGGGATGGATAAGAGGTCTTGTTTATACCATAGTGTAAACAAGTGTAAACAAAGCTTATATAACTACTGTTTATACCATGATATATATATATAATTGTAAACAACCCTTAAATAGAATGGTTGTTTACACTCATATAAAGATAACCTGTAAACAAAATATACCTGTTTACATTACCTAATTAATATCTTACCTGTAAACACCTTGAGAATTTTGTCCTCCAGATACTGGAAAACCATAGGTACAGTTACACACACACACACACACACACACACACACACACACACACACACACACACACACACACACACACACAGTAATGCGTTTCGATTCTCAAGGAGTCCATTACCCTCCTCCCCCCCTCCACCTCTTACCTCCTCTTGTCCTCCTCCTCCTCCTCCTCCTCCTCCTCCTCCTCCCCATCCTTCCCACACACAGATCTCATGAGCGAGTGATGGGGTAGTGGGGAGGGTGATGGGGAGGGTGATGAGGAGGGGTGATGGGGAGGGGTGATGGGGAGAGGGGGTGATGGGGAGATGGGGTACACGTCCCAGTAGCCATGATCACTGCTGTTGAGGAAATTCTCATCAGCTTCAGAGACAAACGTGTTTTTAAAAGTTCAGTTAGGTGTGTTTTGTGTGTGTGTGTTTGTGTGTGTGTGTGTGTGTGTGTGTGTGTGTGTGTGTG